CAATACAAATAGCCTTTTGCTAATTCGTGTGCCATCTTGTTGCCTTTGTGTGTRTGTTTKCTTTGTTTYGTAGGYTTACTCGCCCATTTCGAGTGCCGCACGGGGCCCCAACGATTACCCCCGTGACACTAGTGCAAATGTGCAATGCCAGAAACAATAGGCTGTTGCCTGCCAAAATCACTCATAAGTCCATCGGAAAACTCATCAGCTCAGCATTGATTAAAAAACAATTAGCCATTGGGTGTAAGTTGTTTTATTCTCTAGTAAATCAAAACAAAAGAACAATTACAAGGCTCTGAATCAAATCAAAATCTCCCAATGCTTCTGAACCTAAAAGTCTAAAACCTTTTTTACCCTCAAAAAGAATACAACTCACCAAACAGCGCATGAGAAATTGATGGAAAGAGGAACAGACATGCCAGTAACAGAAACAAACAATGAAAACCAATAACCTAATTTCTAACATGCATAAACAGTTTTACTACTCAACTACTGATTCAAAAGATATCAGTACTAATGTTGCACTTATGAAAGCATTGAATATCAATAAGACTACAAAAGACCAATAACCTAAGTTCTGGTTAAGCTCTAACCAATGAATTTTAAATCTCTTAGCTGTTCAACCTCCTACCAGCTACATCTCAGATATTTCAAGATTTCCAAAATGCTAATACCTTATTCGGGTATTCTTTTTTTGAAGTGATGACTTGGTAGTCAATGATAAGGAAGGATAAATTTGCAAGACAAATAAATCTAGATGATTCATTTCAAAAATCTTCCACTTGGCAGCTTAGGCTGACCAAATTTCTTTGCATTTCATATACGAAAATGCTTCACATTTTGGGCCATGCTACATGTCAAATTATAAAGAAAGCCCTTTTCTCAGAACCTAGCATAAATTGGAAAAGTTCACAGACATGGCAAGCTGTAAGGTTGATCCACATGACAAATTCAGATTGTTCCTTATTTGATGGGCAGTCTAGACAGGCTACATCTTATCGTGACAGTGTTGAAATAAGAGGTGTCTATTAGAATTAAAAACTCAAGTGATCTGTGAGAATACCTTTCTACTCTTCAAGAAGACCTTTTGGCTCCTTCATTGAGGATTTCTGACTAAAAAAGTTCAATAACCAAACTTTCTTTGATCATATGGGTGGTTTGTTTGGTTAAACTTGCCACGTGCAGAGGGTGATGCACTGAGCTACAAAATGAGATTTGTATTTTTTTTCTTTTGATAATAAAGAGAAATCAATTTTGACATCTTGATCCATTCCTGAGAAGGAGAGAAGATTTTAGAGATGAATAAAAGTCATGCTGCCATTTGCACATTGTCTGTATGTCAAGGGGCCAGGTTGCACAATCAATAGTGTCTTTCTTTTTTATCTCCATATGTGAATAGCCCCCACCTGATTGTAAAAAAGTCTTTTTGGCAATGTGGGTTCAGTCCTCATTCCGTTTAGCTGCAGGTGAAGTTTGGTTTTGGGGGATTGTGTGTATTGAATTTCAAGCTGATCATCATCACTATCAGAATAATCGTTGTTATGGTTTTTTTTTCTTTATCGTCACAGGTTTATCTAGTGGGATGAAAGTGAAATTCATAAGGGAAAAGATTGGTTTTCTATTTTCGTCTTCATGATTATGCTGGTCCATATCTACTTCTAGGATCCTACTGAAAAGTATGTGGTGTCGGGGCCAATAACTACATTTGTAATGGGCAATCACAGGTTGAATGACGCCAACTTTTCCAGACACCTTGACCTTGCCGTAAAGGATTTTGTAATTGCTTTATTCCTGGGGTTTAGGTTGTTGCTCTCTTGGTAGATGTCTATATGCATGGTTATCATTCCTATGTTGTTTGGACAATAGATGATGGTGCCACTTTTTGCTTTCTCTAGCTTCCATAATTGCAGGTGGCACAGAGTTCTGGCTAAGTTTCCTATACAAAAGTGATTGTGTTTTTTGCCCTTGAGTGTGCCATGAGTTTGGCATAGCCTTCTTGTGATGCACCCCACTAGGGTTGCAATAATGTGGTGGTCTTCCCTCAGGTTAGAAATATGTAGGGTATATTTTGAAACTTTAAAAGAGAATGAAGTGTAAAAGGGTTACAAGGTATATTTAAGTCTTTCTGAAAAACTTAGGGTACATTTAAGTCAATTTATGAAAACTCGGGGTATGTTTAAGTCTTTTACCCTTAAGATTATCATTAGACTAGTCATGATCCATGAAACAAAAAAAAAATCCAATAACTAAGAAGAAAATATTGGTGAAGATAAGAATGGCCAAGCTGAGATTGTTGAGGACAAATACTATATATGAAGGCTAAGAAATGGTTTGGTGAAGTGTATTAAAAGCCAATAATTTCCTGATGTCACAGAACTATCTGATGCAGTTTGAAGGGCTTAAAGGAGCAGGGATAGAGAAAAAAAGGGCATTGGTTGAAGTAGGAACAAAGATGTGAGGACTTGAGACTTACCTGTAGCCTAGATACAGTAAAGTGGGTGAACAGAGCTTAATATAAGAACAACATTTGACACATGTAAAAGCTGTTCTTCATATATTTGTTAAATAATCATTGAGATGGTTATATTTATCTATATTTCTTTTATTAACCCTTGGTAATTTCTGCAATATGTGTATCTACTATAAAGCTCTTGTCTCTGTTCTTCAACACTCAAAAACAAAATGGGAACAATTTTAACAGCTAATTACTTGTTTTTTCCACATAATATGCTCATTCAGATTCCTTTGAAATAAAAGTAGCTACTGACTGTCCCATTTCACAATAGTTAAGCCTGGATTCAACTTTCAAAAACTGAGTTTGGTGCCCATCTCAGCTTTCCTCATGCTAGGTCAGGCAAGCATTGGTTCAGCGAGTCAAGTTGCATCCCAGTGCACAACTCTATTTCCTCAAACAAGGTAAAAAAAAAATACCAATTTCAATACTAGTAAAAATGAAAAAACCTAATTCGTTTCCATTTCTTTAGAGAATCTTCGGTGGCAGCTAAAAACAATAACATATAACTTTGGAAGCATTTCAAATACAAGTGATGCAGAAGAAATATAATGAATGCAATATATAACAGAAATACATATTGCTACTTCTATTGAACAAAAACAATACCTGATAGCATCTTCATGTTTAGAATCTGGGTACTTCTTAAAGAACTTCTTTATATATACATCCTCAGGAAGACTAATCTTCTCAATTTTTCCATCAGTGCGAGGAAAAGTCACAGGTGGAGCCCTGTTTTATGCGATCAAGCGTAAGAATGAGCAGAATAATCCAATTCTTTTCAAGACAAGATGCTAAGAAATCTATCACAATCATGAAATCGAAAAACAGAAAACAAAATGAAGAAAGTGGATAACAAACTCTTCCATGGCCTTGAGCCATATGGGTTTGGCCTTGGCGAGACCCTTTACGAGTTTCCTAGTCCTCGTTAGAAGATCTCCTCTCATGAACGACATGGTTCCCTATCTGCTACCGATACAACGGTAGAGCAGCTTCCGAAGCTTACTATTATTCACCCAATACCTTGTAACGTCGAGCTTTGATGTTTTTAGAGAAATCTCTCAAAGGCTCCCCAAAGGTCCAAAAGTACTTTACACCTAAAAGCAAGAAAGCAAAAAAGCAAAAGAAAAAGGTTCAATGTAAAAAAAGGTTCCCAATAGGGTTGTGAACGTCGGAAAAATACCTCCCCGGCAGTTCACTTCATGGCCAAACAGACGGAGTCGCCACCCATAAGAAATCAATAATGGGGAGTGATGGGTCTCCCGGAATTAAAATCACTCCATACTGCCCGGTCGAGACAAGGCTATTCCGGGTAAGTTGAGAGAGAAAGGAAAGGGGTTAGGCACCCCTCTCTCTGGTCAGTGTGAATACTGGATTTCCCTTCTCTGCTTACAATTACAATGGATCTAAGAATCGGGTTCTCTAGCAACTCGAAGGAATATAGTGTTTCTTTCTTCTCTTCCAGACCAGTCCCCTTTTAGACGCAGGGGACTGAGCAAAAGGATGAGGAATCCCTCACCCCCTTTCTATCAGAACCCCACCTTCGGACTCAGTAAACCTGTCTGAAGAGTGAATAAACACGCCAGCCTCTCGGTTACAAGAGAACACTCCGAACCAATCAAGAAGCAACCACCAAAGCAAGCAAGTAGATAAACATTATATGAACGGCAAAAAGATGAAGACTAAACTACCTTCGAATTGCTAAAAACACCTCAAGCAAGAGGATGAGGTAATGAGTTTTACCTCTTGTGGCCTTTACAAGTATCAACGATGCTGGTATTCGCAGATGGGTTTGAAGAACTCGAATGGACGATATGGAATTCTTAGGTCGGCAGTTCGATAGTAGCAGTGGAAGCAGATCGACGGCAGAAAAGTGATAAGTTGAGGTTTTAACGGGAAATCAACTGGAGGCCGAAACTCGTCCAACGAAGGATGGTAGCGCCGGTGGGGAGATGGAGATCGCGGGTTTTGTTCTGAATTGCCGCTCCTCTCTCTCTCTCTCAGATTTTCTCTATTCTCCTAGAACTCTTTCTCTCAAATTTTCTCTGCCCTCTACCCGAGCTCTCTCTCTCCCGTCGTCTCTACCTTCTTATCTCCGTTTTCTCTCTTTCTCAGTTCGAACACCCCTCTCCTCTTCTCAAACTCTCTCGGTCTCTCGCCCTTTCTGTTGTTTTTCTCAAAAACCTCTCTCACATTCTGGCTCTTCTCTAACCTCGAAACTCTCTCTCTCGTTTTCTCTCTCGAGTGCTCGGGTTTTTCGAAATTCCTCAAAAAATCAAAATGAATGAGGGGTCTGGTAGGTAAGTTAGGATTTGTTGGGGCATCCTCTCATGTCAGTGTTTCAAGGGTCAAAAAGGGTAATTTGGGGAAGGAAGGGAAAATTGGTAACTTGGGGTCCCAAAGGGATAGGCTTAGAGGGGGTATTTAGGAAATTTGAGGTATGAAGGGCATTTTGGTATTTTTGGGAACTTGGGGGAATTTGGGAATTTTGTACGAGGGGTAGTTTAGGAATTTAGAAAGGGGTATTTTGATAATTTTGGGTAAGAGGATTTTGGTAACTTTTGGAGGAAGAGTAATTTGGGATTTGATCCAAGGGGTAATTTGGGTAATCTAGTCAAGGGTATTTTGGTAATTTGGAAAGAGGATAATTTGGGGATTGTTTCAAGGGTATTTTGGTAATTTGTCCTAGGGCATTTTGGGAATTGGGAATTTAGGGTATGATGGGAATATTGATGGTAGTTTGGGAATCCATCAAAAGGGGTAATTCAGGTAATTTTGGTCAAGGGTATTTTGGTAATTTTGGAAGAAGGGATATTTTGGTGATTTTAGGAGGGGTATTAAGTCAAGGGGTATTCTGGGGATCAGTCAAAGAGGTTTTTGACGTTCTAGGTCGACTAGTGGGATCAGATTGGCTCAATTGGGCCTAGATGGGGCAGATCTAGAAAATGTTTGTTACGACTAATCTAGAGCCTCAAAACGGAATCTAAGTGTGATCAAGGGGTAGACAAAGGTGTTTTAGGATGAAATTTCATGGGTAGGTGCTTTGGGAGGTCCTAGGTCTAATGGTTGAGGTGTAAGTGGGGATTGATTGGGGCCATCAGATAGGCATCGGGCAGTTTTAATGGTGGATCTGATGGATCTTGGGATGAAAGTTGGTTTTTTGGTTTTTTCAATGTTTTGAAAGGATCGGAAGGGTTTGATCGGGTGTTTGAAGTAAATTGGAGGTTTAGACAGCGGACCGAGCAAAAATCAGGTGCTGACAAGGGTCAAATAGATTATTAGGGAGATTTCCTACCAGAACCCACCTATTCTGCCACGTTAAGGGAACCTACAAATGACCTCAACCGTTCATCGGATAAAAACCTGTGGGGTTGAGGTTGACTCATTCAAGCATTTTCGGGCTTCGGGCTCAAACCATAGATAGAAAAGACATTCTAACACCCTCCCAACATGATTTGGGACCACATATCTCCTACATATCATAGACAGAAAACATCAAATAAAATCCAACTCACAAAGAGTCTGCATCACCTGCCAACAAAAGACATTCCAACACCCTCACAGCATGAACTGGCACTGCATATCTCATACATGGTGGGTCCCACTTTTATAATGGGCTCCAATTTCATGGTGAGATATGCGGTGTTGGATTATGTCGGGAGAGTGTTGGAAGGTCTTCTATTTATAGGTGATCCCAACTCACAAATAAAAACTCATAATCCCAAATTATGATAATCTAAATTTTTAATTCATCAAGATCCCATTTGGCATCAATTGTAAAAACTCTATTCTGAAAATTCTCATCTTTCATAATTTACATTTAATTCATATTTCTTGTAATCAGAATTAGGTTTGGTAAGGCTGCAACTTGGGCCGGGTTGGTCCGAACCCAAACCAAAAAAATCAGGTTGGGTTGGGTTGGGTTGGGTTGATGTTCGGGTTAGGATTAGGTTGAAATTTATGAACCCGACTTTACTTCGGATTGGGTAAGGGTTGACCCCTCGGGAAACCCAAAAACAACTCTATAGTTCATATCATATATAACCATATGTTATATATATAATATATATCCCATAGCTTGTTGCCTATAAAAGATCTATTATAAGTCATAACTTATAATAAACTATAGTCATTTCAAAAACATTTTTTTCTGAATTTTGTACTTAGAACCAATAAAAATATCAAGAAACAAATACTAATAAAACATAGGATTAATATATGTAGTGAAAGTTGAGTTAAGATCTTAGATTAAGAAGTTCTACAATATTTTAAGGGATGGGAAGAAGGTCGGGTTGGGCCCAACCCGAGCCCAACCCAACCCGAAGTCGAAATTGACTTCAAGACTTCGGGTTGGGTTGGATTGGGTTAGGATTGGAGGTATTTAGTTAGGGTTAGGATTAGGGGGAAGGTCGGGTTGAAAATTGGGTTGGGTTAGGGTTAGGGTTGGAAGTTTAGAACTTAGGGTTGGACTAGGTTGGCCTCAACCCAACCTAACCCGGCCCGACTTGCAGCCCTAAGGTTTGGTGTCATCTCATTTGCTCAGACCAAATATTCAAATGAAAAAATACAAAAGAAAGCATGTCAAACTCTTAAAATAACTCCACTTCAAACTACTTTGTTGTACTGATTCTTAATTTGTTGTTCACTTGTTTATTAGATGTAATTAATATTCTCCACAGAAAAATAAACAAGACCATCCACCTATTATGGCTTACTTCACATGAAACCTTAAACTTATTAAAAGAAGCTGAGGGTTTCACACTAAGACAAGTGTAGGAGTCGTGGCTTTTTAATTTTCCTCTATTCAGCACAAACAAGAGAAGAAGAAAAATAGAAGAACAATAGAAAAGAACTTTACCACCGCCAATCAAAATTGGCTTTTAAGGATGCTCCTTAGAATTTCTACCTTAAGCCCAATGTCTCCCCAACAAGTGTAACAAAGAAGATGAAGAGAAATTTCTTTAAATCCTAAAGTCTACCGTTATTTCTTCCAGTCTTTTATTTTCTATTGCTAGCATACGTATCACATGTTGCTAATTGCCATGTAATCAATTTTTTCAAAGCAAAGTTTGAATCCTGTGTATATAACTTGAGACTTCAAAGGAAGATGCTCGAGTTTGAACTGGATAGCCCAAGCAAATGGAGGCAATTCCCCACTTTAAAGCAAAATTTGAATCTTGGAACACACTCATCCGGTACTCTTGGTTCATATGATTCTTTGAGCTAGACAAGCCAAGCAAACATAGGCAATTCCCAATTTAACCATCAATCTCATCCACAAATTCCTCTTATTCCTTATCTACGTTTTTCATGCCAATGCTTTAGTGTTTCAAGCTATTCCCACTAAAACTGAGTAGCTTCCAACAAATCTAACCAGAGGTAGAGGTGTAAAGTGGGTCGTGGAGGTAGTGTATTTGATACAGATACATTATGATAGAGTTAGCAAGGAAGGATTATTCAGCCACAAAGAGATCACTGTCCTATTTGTTCCATATATGTCCCAGTGTCTTCCTACGGTGGAAGCATGGAGAGACCAATGGCATGCATACAAGAAAGCCATAGCTGAGAGAGAGCATCAACTTTCTTTAAAAAAGGTCTGCTATTCTTATTTTGTTTAGATTCCTTTCCCCTGGTTATTGTTTTTCATTCTATATGTATTAACCACCAATTTTGTTCCATTTGTTTCTTTCAGAAATCTAGTGAGAAGAAAGAAGGGGAGAAAGGTGAGTAGTTGGATGTATTTCCATCTAGTGCTGGTTCCTAGTTGTCACAAAGGGTTTCTAACCTTACTATTAGAATAATGATTTTATTAGCTTATTCTCAGGGGATCGGAGTCATACAAAATCAAATAAGGGCATGGGTTCCCCAAAAACTGATAAAGCTGAAGGCAATGTAGCAAAGGATGAAAAGAAGGGGCCACATGGTACACCCTCTGGACAGGCTATCGATGTCAAGAAAAAGGAGAATGGTAATGGAAATGATGTCAAAGGAAAAATAGCTCAGAGAGAGGGGGATGCAAATGAGAAGAAGAATGAGAAAAAAGATAGAGAAGCAAGTGGAACGGGCAAGCATGTTGAAAAAGTGAAGCAGGATGACTCTTCCATTGCCCAGACAACTGAGTAGAAGCCTGGGAAAAAGAGAGTTGTGAAAAAAGTTACAAAAAATAAGGTTTCTAATAGTAAAATAAATGACTCAAAAGAAACAGTTGACAAACAAAATGAGACATTGGATGAGAAAAATGTAGAGGAAAAGAAAGTTAAGCCAGAAACCACTATAAAGCAGGATGAAACTCCTGTGGATACTTCTGGTGTCAAACCTTAAGAAAGAAAATTGTAAAAAAGGTCCCTGTGGGATAATCTTCTAAAAAAGGTGGTAAAAGTGTAAGCTCTGACGAAATGCAAACTGGGAAAGAAGAGGAAAATCCAAAAGATAAGACAGATCTCAATGGTTCTTCTGTTGTGCCAGAATCTATTGTCAAAACAACTACTAAGAAGAAAATCATTAAGAAGATACCCAAAAAGAAGGCCAACAATGTGGAAGAAAAGAGTGGAAATGCTAAGAGCAAGGATGTTGAGAAAGATGAAAATAAGACAATTGAAGGAAGTGAAGTAGAAAACGTGAAAGAATCAACTGCAGTTGCAGATAAGCAGGTTGCTGAGGCAAACAAATTGGAGAATAAGAAAAACCCTAAAACAGAGTCGAAAGCAGTGGACACTGAGAAGCAAGAAGATGGCAAGGAGACTACAAAGGAAGAGAAGGGTGCTGATATTAAAAAGGACTCTGGGTCTAAAGTGGACTCTGAGGCTTCCAAGGAAAAAGTTTCCAATAAGGATAGCCGTGAGGCCAAAAGGGAAATAACCAAAGATGAGAAAGAGAAGAAAGACAAAGAAGGGAAAGATGAATCTAGAGGCAAATCAAGTAAAGAGGTAAAGAAAAAGGAAAGTCAGATGAGCCTCCTCAGGATCCTGGCTTGTTACTACAAACAAAGTGGACCAAGGATTCTGAAGTAGGTCAAAATTGCATGCCTTAACGTAATTGTTATTTAAATTGTATCTATGTTAACTTTCATACCGTGCTGTCTGATCCTAATTGTTGTGTACAGATCCGATCATTGACACTTTCACTGGATTCACTATTGGATTATAATGACAAGGATATTGAAGAAACAACCTTTGGGGTTTTCTTTTCAACTTAACTAAAAATAGTCAATGCTTGTAGTTAGTCTATTAACATTGACCATTTTATTTTTTATGTTCAACCCTTAATCTTATCCTAGAATTATCATAATATCAA